TACCCCCTCTTCTAGGTGAGCCTGAGGATGAATAGGAAATGGGTGGGAAGCCAGGTGTGCAGGAGGGTCTGGCACATTTTTCACTTGCCTCTGGTCCCCACTTTAGATTGTGAGCTGCCCGAGTAGAAGCCAGTTCTTACTCATCTTTGTAGCTTAGCAGGTGTCTCATCCGTAGTCAGCCCTGCGAACATAGTAAGTGGAACCCACCAGTTAGGAGAGGCAGTGATTCTCCTACGGGTTCCTTGGATGGAGAAAATCTCTTAGAGCTTGATTTTCAAGGTTCTGGGGACGAGAAACGATATTGCCTCAGCGGGGTGATTAGAATACTGCCCACTGTGGTCGCCACGAGCTTCACGCGGCTGTTGAAGCTGCCCTGGATTATGAAGGCTGCGCAGATTTCAAAGGCTCAGCATGATAACAAAGGATGTAGAGTTTCTCATTAATGATTTTTACATTGATGATGTGTAATGATAATACTTTGAAATGGCAATGTTTTAGATACATTGGCTAAATTACATCATTAAAATTAAGTTCATCTGTTTCTTTTTCTTTGATGTGGCTACTAGAACATTTAAAACTACATATAGGGCTTGCATCTGATTCCTTTTGAGCAGCTTTGGTCTAGATTCTAGACCATTCTTGATGATGGTACTGTGCCCAAGTAGGCAAAAGTTCATTCTTGGGGCCGGTGGGGAGGTGGGGCAGGGGGAGGGGGAGGCAACAAGTTCTTACCTGTTTTAGATCTATATACATATAGATCTACATAAATAGATGCATAGTATATTTGCAGTATCAAAATTTCAAGTAATTAGGAAAGGAAGTCTATGTAGACTCTCAATGGGGCAGGGGGCAGATAACAAATCCTGAGAAATGTGGCTCCAGGGACAGCCAGACCTGAGTCACACACTGGCTTTGCCTCTTACTAGCTGTGTGACCTCAGGTGAGTTCCTTAAGCTCTGGGCCTCTGTTTCCTCATGTAAAATGGGAGGAGAAATGGTACTTATCCTGCAGAGCTGTTGGGTAGATGAAAGGTGAAACACTTTGCCCAGTACCCAATAAAGAGGGTGGTTATTATTGTCAATTCTTATTCGTGTGTGTTAAGTGAGGCTCCGGAGGCAGAGCAGGGGGGACTTGCACTTCCAGAACTTAGAGTGACATCCCGCCTGTTGGCCTGTTTTTCTGCCTGGAAATGCGTTCCTGGGAAGACCTTAATGTCTGTGCAGCACTTTGTACCGAGTGTGGAATGTGGCTGGAGGGTGTTTGAGCACATCCTCAACTGGACCAGCACCTTACTGGGTGCAGTGGGGTGGGGTGGGGGTGCTCCACACTGAGGGCTGTTCATTGGTGGCCTCTGTCAGGCTCATGGCAGCCCCTCCTGGCCAGGCGGGCGTCCAGCTGTCAGGGCCAGGCCGGGGCTGAGCTGGGCATCTCCTCCCTGGGGTTGCCTTCAAAGGGAGAGCTGGGAGGAAGGTGGAGGGGGAAGGAGGGGCTGCCCCATTGACTGCCCGACACAGACAATTGGATTAAAGGTCCCTTTCAAGGCCTTGGAAATTGTTAGTGACACGGACCCTGGCCTGGGGACTGCTGCCTTTTAATAACAGAACCAAATTCCCTCTTCTGAGATCACAGATGCCGGGGTCCTGCCTTCTGTGCAAGGAGGCAGGGAGGCCGCTCAGCAGCGTGGCTAGGGTGAGGATGACTTGCTAGCTGCTCAGCCTGCTGGACCCCCCACCCCCACCCCCACCCTGGAGTTTCTGTACATGATGGTTTTGAGGAGCAAGTGGGGGCCTGGGGCATTTCGGGCAGTCCACCACCTGACACCTACTCTTGATGCCGTGCACACACCCAAACCTAACCTGTCCAGTACGGCTCTCTCCGTCTTCCTATGAAGCCCTTGCCTGGCCCTCCATCCACCTGTTGATCCATTTGGAAGCTGGAGGTCATTTCTGACTCTTCCTCTCAACCCTTAACTGAATGGCTGGCAGTTGGATAACTTTTGTCAGTTCTCTAACTAAATGCATCTTAGATTTGTCCACTGCTCGTCACTGTCCCTGTCTGGTCTAGGCCACCGTCACATCCCTCCTGGAGGATTCCAAAGCCTCTGATGTTACCTTCTGTAGTTCAGCCAGGCTGACCTTATAGGACACTTTGGGATTTTATAGAATTGTGCCCCTCCTTAAATCCCTACTGTGTTTTTCTATACTCTTTAGAAGAATGTCAGATCTTTCCTTTTTAAAGATTTTATTCATTTATTCATGAGACACACACACACACACACACACACAGAGACAGAGAGAGAGAGAGAGAGAGAGAGAGAGAGAGAGGCAGGGACACAGGCAGAGGGAGAAGCAGGCTCCATGCAAGGAGCCTGATGTGGGACTCGATCCTGGGACTCCAGGATCACACTCTGGGCTGAAGGCAGGCACCAAACTGCTGAGCCACCCAGGGATCTCCTGTCAGATCGTTCTTATAGTCTACAAGACTGAGTACGATTTGCCCCTTTCCCACCTCTCGTCTCCTTCTTTTGCCTTCCCCTCACTCCCTCGGTCCCAGCCATGCTGGTCCTTTCTGAACACATCTATCATGCTCTGACCTCAGGCCCTTTGCACATCCTGCCCTCCCTACTTGAGACATTCTTCCTGACTCACCCTTCAGGTCTCAACTTCCATGTCACTGCCTTGGAGCAGCCTTCCCCGAGACCCTACTTACCGTGAGTTTCCTTTCTCACTGCTGTTCCTTCTCCTAACACACCCAGCTCCTTCCACTTCTAGGGATGCTTATCACCATTAGGCATTAGCAATTTATTCATGTGGTGATTGAGTTCTGGCTCACCTCCCACAGGACATCAGCTGTGTGGTGTCTGGGACAGTTACCGGTATTAACCTCTGCAGCTCTAGCCCTTGCACAGCGTAGAATGTGTGGGTTCTGTGCCTGGGTGGCTCATTGGGTTAGCATCTGACTCTTGATCTCAGCTCAGGTCTTGATCTCAGGGTCATGCATTTAAGCCCCACGTTGGGCTCCACGCTAAGCATGGAGCATACTTAAAAGCAAACAAAAAGTTTGCAAAATGGAATCGCTTTGCTGTGTGCTTTGGACACATCCCTTCTCCTCTGGGCTTCAGCGACCCAGTATGTAAATGTGGGTGGCAGTAGCTGGACTCAGTCACTTCCAAGTTGCTTCCATCTTGGATATTTTTTGGAATTAACCAGTGCTTTGTCTAAGACCCCACATGGTACTTGGGGCTGGCTGGAAGGCTGGGTGTTGCAGGGTCATGTGCCCTGCCTCCTTCCTTTGTACTCTAGTCAGGCTGGGGCTCAAGGGGTTGACTGTGGGACTCTGGGAGAAAGAAATCCTGTGTGTGCCAAGTAGCTCATTCATAAAAATGGGTGCTTGTCACCACTGCTATAGTTCTTTTTAACCAGCTTAGAGGCAACATGGCATTGGTGCTTGAGTGAACCTCCGAGTCAGGCAGAACTGGATCCAAAGCCAGTCTCTGCCCAGCCCAGAGAATGCTGAAGTTAGAGGGGGTGCTAATGGGCAGTTCAGAAGCGGGTAGGAGAATGGACTCTGGGATCAGAGAAATTTGAATCCTGGGCCTGCTGCTGGCCTTAAGCAGTTTTCCTGATCCTTCTGAGGCTTTAGTCTCCTCATCTGTAAAATGGGACCCCCTGTTGAACTCCCCCTTGAGGTTGGTGTATGAGTTCAGTAAAATCTTTTACGTGAAACTCTGTGGCCTGGTGCAGGCCAGTTGCTCAGCAAACCTGCTTTTATTATGATTAATAAGTGTTCCTTTTAAGAATTACTTCTTGTGAGGGAGAAGGAAACAGAAAAAGGAAAAGTCTTTCTGGAAATTTCTTTACCCCTTGGAAAGGTCTTTACCCCATGGAAAGGTCTATTTCCTTCCTTGCTGGAAAACCGTCACCCCTACCCTTCAGCATCACCCTATCCCTGTCCCTCCATTGTCCCCCTGCACCCTGTCTGGTCACCCAGTGACTCATTAATTACTGCAACTAGATGGTTGCTATGGAGATCCCCTGATGCTGAAATTGCCCTGTGGCTGGGTGGGCATCCTGTGATCCCTGCCTAGGGCCTGAGGCTGTGACAGTCAAGGGACTAGGGGAGGGAGGTTCAGTTTGGAGACTGGGCATCCATCCTCTCCTTGATCTGCCCTGCAGCGTGAAGGTGGCTGCTGGGGGTGGGGGCAGCGAGTGCTTTCTGGGGTCAGATTAGCAGGCTGCCTCCTCTCTGCCCCAATGGGATTTACCCTCTTGGAAGCTCATCTTGGTTCAGGACTGGGAGAGGGTCCCATCCTCACAGCCCTTTGGAACCTGAGACCCCTTGCAGATGTGCAACTTCCTGGGGGATTAACACCCTCTCTGAGCACAGGCTCTGAGCCCTCTGGAGGTTTCCTGGCAGCTGTTCCTAAGCCGGCCTTGTATGTATCAGAATAACCTGGGGAAATTAAATGAGAAATAACTTCTGGGTTCAACCCCTGGCGAGTCTGATTCAGTAGGTATTTGAGAACCTTTGTGGCAATAGGTCAGGTTCACATATCTGCCACAGGGCCTGAGAGAGGGGAGAGGTGGTGACCCCAGGAGGATCAGGGTACTGCCACCCACAGGAGGGGTGCCTGGCCCCCTGAGTGACAGCTATTGACTCTGTATGTTGGGGGGGACAGCCCAGCAGTCTCTTCTTGAAACACACATATAAGGGTACCTGTGTGGGGTGGCTCAGCGGTTGAGCATCTTCCCTTGGCTCAGGGTGAGATCCTGGGGTCCTGGGATCGAGTCCCTCATCAGGCTCCCCCCAGGGAGGGGAGCCTACTTCTCCCTCTGCCTAGGTCTCTGCCTCTTTCTCTGTGTGTCTCTCATGAATAAATAAAATCTTTAAAAAAAAAAACCCACACACATAGGTATGTGTATATATAATACATGCACGTCGACACATACGCATTTCTAGATTTTTGTTTGAAGGCGGCGTTCTTTACTCCCATTTTACAGATGGCAAAACTGAGGTTCTGAGCGACAGGGTCCCTTCTTCCAGGCCAGGATCTAGCAGCGGAGCTCGGCCTAGGACCCGAACTCAGGAGTGCCGTGCTCATCCTGCCTCCCCGCTGCCTCTCCGGCCCCCGTGTTCCTGCCTGTCAAATGGGCGCACTCCGCTTACCTCGGCCACGTCCTGGGCACACAGCGCTCGCTCGGGGAGCGGGACTGAGGCTTGGGAAGCCGCGTGTGAGTCACCCCTCCCGAGTGAGGGGTGAGGGGTGAGCTCCTCGGAGTCAGGGCTTGGGGCTGAGGTGGCCTGGGAGGGCCTGTTTGGTTTGGTTGACATTTCCGAGAGATGCCGGGCCTCACTGGTGCCCCTGGCTGAGCAGACCCAGCCGTCTCCCCCCAGGGACTAAATTTAGGATTCCTCGGCTCTTGGCTGGGCCTCCTCTTGTTTTTGGAAAGTCTCCATTTTGTTCCTCCTGCTGCCTGCGGGCGGCCGAAGCCCAGCCCCAGCCAGATGACTGGCCTGCCCGCGCCGCACTCACGCTCTGGCCTGAATTGATCTTGTCGGAGTTAATTAGCAGCTGGTCCTGCAGGCCTGGCCTCCAGCAGGCGGGAGGAGCCGGCTGGGGGTGTGCCAGGAGCCAGGGGGTCCCCGCCCCACACCCCTGCTTCTGCTGCCGCCTCAGGCAGAGGCCCTCTGGAGGGAGGCTCTGGGGTTTTCTTTGGCACTTGGTGAGCAAATGGCTCCCTCTCCCTTTTCTTCTGAGCCCTGTAAAAATAAAAAGTTAAAAGACCCTCAAGTCTGAACAGTAAAACCAAATACATGAAACCAAGCTGTTTCCATGTGGGGGCCACGGACTGTGAACACCCAAGTTTGAAACTTCCTCTCGCTGGAATTTATGGAAGCCTTGGAAACTTTTCCTTTTCCTTATTTTTTTTTTTTTTTTTTTTTCCTTTTCCCTTTAAACATCAGAATTGGCTCAGGGCATTCTTTAAAAGCATAACCCTGGTGCTGCTCACAGCTTGATTTAATACAGCTTGAATACAATAGTAACTTCTGAACGGGGCTCTCTTCAGAGAGCAGGAAAGGTGTTTCATGACACCAGTAAGTAGGTTTTTTTTTTTTTTCCCTTTAGCCAAGAAGTATATTCTAAGATTTATTAGATTCTCCGCTGCCCTCCCCCTAGTAACCCAGATTTTTGCTAGAAGTAAAGGAAACTTGCTCAGAACCAGTTCTGTAACTCGGGGCTAGAAGACGCGGAGACCCGTCCTCTGGGGGGACTCGGTGCTGAAACACTGACCGAGCAGAGGCCGGCTTTTTACAGGCGGGCGGGTCACAGGTGCCCGCTTCCCAGACCAGACCCGCTCGGGGCCTGGGCGTTAGGAGCATCAGCAGGAGGGTAATTGTGTTTTGGGAGGAAGGGGTGAAGTGTGGGCATGGGATGTGGTTGGTGATGGTGGTGGGGGATCAGCTTTCCTGCAGAGGCACTTGCTCTGGGCTTCGAGGGACGGGTTTTGCCAGCCTGTATTTCTGGGAGGGGGTGTTTGGGAAGACGGTGATGTCGTGACGGTCTTCCTCGAGAGATAAGGCAGATTCCTGATCTGCCTCTGCCTCAGTGGTACGAATCTCACTCGGGCTGTCGGGCCCGAGAATGGCTCTTTGGGAGCTCGGGGGCTCCCGCTTAGGGAAGGGGGGACCGGGCCCTCAAAACACCAGGCCTAGATTTCAGCGTGGTCACCGTTGGCCGAGCCCTTGAGAGCAAGGCTTCTCACCGGAGCAGAGACAGTTTGGCAAGGTCTGCAGGCACTCTCGGTCATCACGCCGGGGCGGTGCTGCTGCCGGCATCTGGTGGGTGAGGCCCGCGATGCTGTTAGATACCCAACATGCACTGGACAGCCTCTCAGCGAAGTATTATCTGGCTCCAACAGAGCCGCGGTTGACAAACTCTGCTGGGGCAGAGCATCCACAGGGCCCACCAAGTCCATTCCTGTCTTCTAGAAGGTTCTGAGTTCCCGAGATTGGTTGCTAGCTTCTTGGCTTATTCCCACCTTTTGTTCAAAGTTGGGACTCTATGCTAATTTGCCCTCACTCCTCCCAGGGCTCTGCCTGGGTCCCGGACGAATGGGTGCTTGGTGGCTGGTGTGTGTACTGACCGCTGGGCAAGCCCCTGAACAGAGCTTAGAGGAGCAGCTGCCCCTACTGCCGTGTCCTAGGAAGGCATTTGGCCACTCCCTCCTGTCCCCGACCCCTCCCCAGGCAGCAAAGATGCAGACCCCTCAGAGGTAGTGATTCCTGGTTTAAGTATCGATGACAAGTGGTTAATAAGATTATCGATCTACAGCTAAATTGCTGCGATCAAGTGATGGTCTGGCGTGGAAGCAGTGCCTGGCCACCATCACATTTCTGGTTGTCCTTTGTTGAGAGAGCTGGGCTGGAGAGCTAGATTTGAGACACTAGAATTTGGTCTGAGAGTGGCTGCCCATGGGCATAGGAATACCTTTCTAGAAGGTTGCTAAGTGGGCAAAAAAACTTTTTTTTTTTGCAAAATAAGTTTTCGTAAGTCATTCTTGATCAAGGTAGTAGGCATAACGGGCATCTGGGGGTCTTAAAGTTCACCTCTACGTGGGGCCATTCAGGTGGGCTGCATGTAGGAGGTGGTAGCTGATGTGACTTAGCAAGGTGAGTTTTTCCTGCTTTGGTTTTGCCTTGAGCTGCTCACTCTGATGAGGGTTTGTTTCCTGACCCATTTTTCTTTCTTTTCCTGTTTTAGATGGGGTGACCCCAGTTGTAGGAGCGCATAAACCTTGATGTTGGAGTGGCTCATGATGCTAGCATTTTATTTATCATTCACGTACCAGTGTAAGACAGGGACCTTGTTTGGAAGGTGTCCTTGCCCAGGTAGTGATTTAGTGGCCCTGGCTCCTTCCATTTTGTAGCTCAGGTTCTCCAAATCTGCTTCCAGCTGGCAAAAGGGGAATAAAAGAAGGAAAAAACTACCACTTCTTAAGATCCCTGGCTGTGAGATCACAGGACCTCACCCGATGCAAAGGATGCTGGGAGATGTAGTTCTTTCTGGGCAGTCACCTCCCAGTGGCAACCCCACACCCTGGAAGGGACGCTGGAGCATGACTCACAGCCCCTGCTTGTGTCTTTGTGTCGTTTGTGTCCCTTGCAGGGTCTCTTTTTGCCTGGGCCTCCTTTTCTGCTGATTTTCTCAACGACCATGTCTAGCTCCATGTTGCAGAAGCTTCGACCTCTGTTCCATGTGGAATGTATAGCCCCTGGGGGACTGCTGGTGCCTTGCTGGGAGATTCACACCCAGGTTCTGATTGGATGCCCACATTGCATGCACTTCTTGCACTGCTGTGATTGTCTGTCACATTCTGAGAGCCATGCCTCATGGTTCTGAAAATGCCCAGGAGGTCTCCTGCAAGCCTGTGTTCCTCCTGGGTAGCTAGGGATCTGGTTGGGCTTTAGGGTGGGCTGTGTCTGGATCATTGCTTTCATGATGCCTCATCTTATCATCAGAGGTGGCTTTTTTCTCTGAGAATGCAAGTGTTGCTGTGTCACCCTGGAGAAGTTACAAGATTGGGAAAAGCCAACAGCACCAGTTTAGTTAGTATTTTTTATGCCCTTCCTTTTGGCAGAGATTGCAAAAGGGTAGACTGAATCTAGCCCCTGGCATATTTTATTTGATCAACTCAATTGCGAAAAAAAAAAAAGGATCAATGCTTTAATATGGAGGATTTTACTTAGAAGTCCAGATTTCTGACTGCTTTTTGAAAATTGGAAAAGCTGGTAATAGTGGCATCAGCTTCGTAGCCTGGCAACATTCAGCTGGAGCTGAGTGAGGCTGTGCCTTTGGACATGGTATACACCTCCCAGAGCCCTGTGACACCCATCAATCCTGTTTCTCTCTGTGTGGCCCTTCATCATTGCTCTTGCACATGCTTTCTTATAGAGTAATGTTTCTTTTCTTAAAAAAAAAACAAAACATTTATTTGCAAAAGAAAGTGCACAGGGGGAGGGGCAGAGTGAGAGGATCTTTTTTTTTAAATTTTTTTTTTTTTAGTTTTTATTTATTTATGATAGTCACACAGAATGAGAGAGAGAGAGAGAGAGAGAGGCAGAGACATAGGCAGAGGGAGAAGCAGGCTCCATGCACCGGGAGCCCGACGTGGGATTTGATCCCGGGTCTCCAGGATCGTGCCCTGGGCCAAAGACAGGCACTAAACCACTGCGCCACCCAGGGATCCCAGAGTGAGAGGATCTTTAAGCAGACTCTCCTCTGACAGACATGGGGCTCGATCCCATGACTCATGAGATCACAACCTGAGCTGAAACTAAGAGTCAGAAGCCCAACTGACTGAGCCACCCAGGCACCCTGAGATATGTTTCTTTTTAATAAGTTTCTCTAGTTCTTGCAAAGAAAATAATTGCTATCAAAGGTGAGGGTGGGAAAGATGAGCCAAAATGGTTCTTTGTTTTAAGAAAAATGAGAGTGTATTTCTTCATGGGGACAAAAGATTCTGTATGTTTCCTATGTGAGTATTAAACATGGCCCACTTTATTTATTTAAATAACCTAGCTCCAAAGGATCGAACTTGTGACATCTGACCTCACTGATGTATTGCTTCCCATAGGATAATATTTCCCGAATATAGTATCCCACTAGGAATTCTGGGGAGGGGAGTGTCAAAGATTCTGTGCTAAAATAGGTTTGGGAAAAAAAATAGATCTAATAACCAAATTAATAAGTTCCGTTACTGCAGGAATTCTCAGTGCCTTTATTGTGCTGAGGTACACTCTGAATCTCAAAATGAGGCTTTAGCATAACTTAGTGTTCTTTCAGTTTGGTGGCCAGTTTCCCCATCTTCCCAGGGCCATAGATTTGAGTGCTCTCATGCTGTGAAGTGCTGTCTCTGACATCACCCAGTGTGTGACCTGCATCCCCCAGGTGTACCTGCCCTTACACTAGATGCACCAAGGGCCTCCCAAAGATGCAAACTTCGCTTTTGCAAAGCTGTCTTCTGCCAGCCGCCCGCTGAGATTTCGAGTCCTCCTTGCCGTGTGGGGCGCCTGCCACGTGCTTAGAAACGACTTGGATTGAGGGGGTTGGCTGAACAGCCAGTGCCCTCTCTCCGTGGTCAGCTTGCGGCTCTGGGTATTTTGTGGGCTTCCACAGAGCTGGTGACTTGTTTTCTGATCCAGGATGATGTTGGGCTATTTTGCAATAGCTCTCAGTTGCTGCGAGGCTACAGGGGCTCGATGAGTGGGATCCGGGGAGGAGGGCAGAACTGAGTGCAGGGGAGATGCTCTGCTTCGTCTCCCTGAGCTGCATGTGCCGTAAGGTGTATTTCGTGCCCAATAATCCGTTTGTCTCTTTGCCTGGCCACAGTAAGGCAGCTCCTGGACCAGATGCCAGCCTTGATCTGCTGAGCTCCCTGGGATGTTTCTGAGAAGGCCAGAGTGTGTTGCCCGCCCAAGGATGTCTCAACTAATTAGTCCATTAGAGCCGATGGGCCTCAGATCATGAATTTGGAGCTGTCTGCTAATTATGCCTCGAATGTGATTTTAGTTAAATGATTAAGGGCTCTCCCAGGACTGCCCTCCCTACAGCAGTCCCCTCGGCCTCTGCCTAGAGCTCTTGCCAAGATAGGATTCTTTTTTGTCCCAGGAGAGTATCTCACTCCCAGGGCCTGAGGGAGGCTAGATCTTGTAGGCGCTCATTTCCAGACTGAGGTCTTTGCAGAGAGCATGGTGGCCTCACACCTTCTGGACGTCTTCGTGTAGGCACAG